AAAGTAAATTATTTTATTATTAAATCTAAATTAAATTATAATAAAAATTGATTTGAAAAAGTTACACCAAAGAAAAAATGAGAACTATTAAATAGTTAATTTGATACTAATATCGATTTATTTTTTTTTAAATTTTTATGCTACTTCAAATTTATATTTCATTCAAAAATAAAAACATTATCACTTTCTCAAAACGATGTAAAATCGTACTATATCGATAGAGACAAAATATAAACTAAACATTAAAATCGAAATTTATCTCGCTGCATTGCACGGATACTCTTCTAGTATGGTATAGATAGAGGGTGGAGGTCCCTCATATGAAGAGGGAAAAAAAAACGCTAAAAGCAACAGATTAAGCACTCGGGTGGGGACGAACCGTATCCACCAGAAAAAAAAAACCAAAGCTCCCAAATGGAAAGAAAGAGGGAAAGACCAACCACTGAGGAACGTTCCAGGCAAGACGAGTCCGGACAACATTTGGAGCCGGGATAAGGATCAGGCTAAGGGACCGTTTTCCAAATACTTACTCGGTAAGTGCTTATCAATAAAATTTAACAATATTATTTACTTACTGGGTAAGATTTTAGTTTACCAAAATGATATCGCATGCAACAATTTACTCGATAAGTGTTTACCATGGTAAGAGTCGTCACTCTCACTTACCGGATAAGACTCTTGGTCCTTGTCTTACTCTTTCCGGGTATGATTCTTAGTTCTTATATCATATTCATCTGGTGAGTTAACGTGACTTGATAAATACCTACTCGAGTAAGCATTTGGTAAACGATCATAAGAAGAGTTTGATAAAGTCAGAAGCCCAATACCATTTATAAGCCTATAACGTGATAAGGCCTTAGGCCCACTATAAACTAAACACACACAAAAAAAAAAACTTCATTTTTATGTTTTTTTAATTATAAAAAAAAATATTCAACCCTAATTATACATTTAAAAACACAAAAAATGCATTTATTTTATTATAAAAAATATATTTTTTTTATATTTATCTACCATTTTATTAAAATATAGTATTATAATATGTAATTAATTATTACATAAAAATATTGTATATGGTTTTAAAATAAATTAAACTTTTAACTACTAAAATAATATATTTTTTTAAGTGTATAATGTTATATACGGCAAATAGAATAAATAAACTTACGCATCGTCCTCGTATTTGGTAAGGTTTGAACCCTTCACCTCTTAGGAGGTAAATGACAAATTGCATAAAAAAAATAATGTACTTTAACTTGATCCGCCTTAACAGTGCACCCACCGGTCAAAAACCTAGCCCCTAACATATATATATGGACTTATGATCATGTGAGACCAAGGGGTTTTTGTGAAACCCGTAAGACCAATTCTCAACAATTGGATTAGATTTATAATCTGAACATTCATAATCACAAAATTGTCACGAGACTTCTCAATAATCACAAAAGTGCCACCGTGCAACTTTACACCATTAGTTTATAAAGTTGATCAATGAACATAAATTGGTCTTACGGCTCTCTAACGAAAAACCTTTGGTCTCACGTGAACTCATCTCTACGTATATGTGTGTATATATATACAGGAGCGAGCAAATACAAACCTTACAAACTAATTACAATCAATCACATAAATCCATTTTTTTTTAATTAATAAGGGTGCGTTTGGTTTGAATGAATGAAATGGATTTGGGAGGATTTGGATTTAAAATCCATTGCAATCCCATGTTTGGTTTGCTAACTGGTCAGGATTTGAAATCCCGTGTATCTTTTAAAATCCCGTAAACAAGGGATTTTAAAATCCATAGTAAATGGGCTGGATTTAAAATCCAAATCCGGGCGACATCTCCTCTTCCACGCTTCAATCTTCATGCCCTAACCTTCTCAAGCTTTCCCCGTTGCTCTCGCCGGTCTCCTCCAACTCCCCACTGCTCGCACCGGTGTCTCCTCCAACTCCCGACTGCTCTTGCCGGTTCTCTCCTCTTCTCTGCTCTTCGTCCTGCTTGAACCGGTGCTCATCCTCTTCGCCTCTTCGTCCCGCTTGAGCAGGTAAGACTTCCCTTTCCAATCTTCTCGTTATTACATTACAATCTTTATGACTCCAGAATGTTACCACCATTGTTGTTGTTGAGCCATTCATTGGTAACATCGACCTTGCAACCTTGCCTAATATTGGGATACCTGAAATTGGAAACCCTAGCCAATGAAACCTCAATTCCAAACCGTCACTATCACAACATTGCTACCGCCTATAAGCGGAATTGACATATCACGTATCTAAACTAATGACATGTGCTAGGTCCGATTGCAGCAATGGGTGGTGAAAGAGATTTGGTGATTAAAATAATTACAAAAAAATCTAAATCCAAATCCTACAAACCAAACAGAGGAATGGATTTCACATCAAATCCAAATCATGCAAACCAAACACAGGAATGGATTTTAAATCCAATCCAATCCAAATCCCATGGAATCCAAATCCCTCCTGGGAATCCAAATCCCTCAGAAACATTCCTGCAAATCAAACGCACCCTAAGGGTATTATGGTCATTTGAATTTATAAGAGTTATGTTTGGTAATTATCAAATATTAATAGATAAGTTTGGTAACAACATAAAATTTATAAAAATATGGATGATATATTGATTAGCACAATATTAGCAAATATTCAATTGAGGTATGCATTGAATTTTTTTAAACAAATCGCCACATATTAAAAAATGTAGAAAGATTTTGTTTAAAAAAAATCCCCCCTAATTTTCAATGAAATAGGTTCAAACTGTTCAACGAAACATGGTCATATATGATTGCATCATGTTTATATGTATAACAACTGTAATTAAACAAGTTCATAGGTAATATGTGATTGCATGAGGTTCGTATGTATAACAGCTGTAATGAAACAAGTTCATAGAACATGTTTCCCCCCCTTTTGTCCTTCTGTGTCTCTAATATGATTTTTTTTACTTTACTTATTTAGTTTGTTTCAATCTTAGTCTTTCATAAAAAAAATGGATGAATGTGATTAGTTTGTAAAGTTTGCATGAAATGAATGGTTTGCAAAGTAAACCTCATATGTATGTGTATGTGTATGTGTGTGTATGTTTAAAAAAAAGGTTTATTGGCGGGGACCTCATGGCCCCGTGGTCCACATTTTGTGAGCCCTACTTGCCATACCTCATAAGCAAGCACCAGAAAAGACAACCTGTCCTCCCCTGGAATCAGACCTTTGCGGGCACGCTCAAGGCAAGGCATTTACGGAAGGAGGTACCCATCAATTAATTGACTAGGGTGGGATTCGAACACTAGTCCTCCTAGGAAGTCAAGTGCCCTTGCTACCACTAGACCAACTAGTGATTGGTTGTATGTGTATGTATATGTGTATGTGTATGTGTATGTGTATGTGTATGTGTATGTATATGTATATGTGTATGTGTATGTGTATGTATATGTGTATGTGTATGTGTATGTGTATGTGTATGTGTATGTGTATGTGTATGTGTATGTGTATGTGTATGTGTATGTGTATGTGTATGTGTATGTGTATGTCTATGTAGATGTAGATGTATTTGTGTGGTTAAAACTGAGTTTAAGATTACAAAGTCTGGTTTTTTCTACATACTTCGGGGATCTAAATACATTTTCAAAATTAAGTTCCCAAAACCATAGAACATACTCTATTGGTTTCTTGAAACTTTGGTTAGATCCTAATCTAAATCCATTTATAATGGAAAATTAAGCAAAAGAAAATGAAACCCTTCTCTTTTCTAGTTCATAAGAACACAAAATTGCAAAAAAATCTACCTAAAAACCCTCAAAATGTATTCATTGTATTCAACCTATCCAAGATCCTCACTATGTATCATTCCACATCGTGAAAGTAGGAGCGTCGCCGTGAGCCACCACCAGGTTGGCGGTCCGGGCCGCTAGGGTTGGTATGGCGGTCGGCACCCAATTGCTATAAGTCGATCCTTCATGATGATAATATAAATTTCCATTGCTAACTCCATGGTTTTGATCACATAATCCATCTTGTGATGAACCATTGGTGGTGGTAGCCATCATATGGTTTATATAACCATTGTTGCCACTATCACCGTCGTATCCAACCACTGCATGGTGGTGTTCACCTCCTCCATCATAACTATGTTCCATTGAAGATGAATCCAAGTTCATTAGGTTATGAAGCACAGAAGAAGGTGGTGAAGGTTGGAAAAACTGATGAATATGTTGAAGGTCTTGAAAACCTTGACCATGGTCCGGATCGTGTTGTTCTTGTTTGCACCATAATCGTTGTTGGCTCGAACCATTGGTGTAGTTTTGTGGGTAGTGCATGCTAAATGGTTGAGCATGTGGTTGAGATAGGGTTTGGTGGTGGTAGTCGATGGAGCTTGGCCAATTCATGGCAGCATAACCGTGGATTCCTTCGTGGGTCGTCATTTGGGACGTCAAGTGGTCTTCTTTTGCCACCCTGAGTAGCTCAGTAGCAGCTGCTTGTTCTGCATCCTTGAGCCGCTTGGCAGCACCACCTATCGGCAAGGTGGTGCTCTCAAGGATGCATTTAACGTCGTATCTATTGATTTCAAAGTTCGTGACTGCATTCAGTCCACGAAATTTGATGGCGGCAATGTCGTATGCCTCTGCCGCTTCTTCTTGCGTGCCTATATTAAAAATAACCATCGATCAAAATAAAATTATGTTGTCTTCAAAGCCTATGTCTCATTCATGTCCCACCAATCACATGTAAACACATACTTATTCATTTGCTCTCTGATGATGTGTCTTCATGTGATTGGTGAATATGAAAGAGATAAAATATATTTTTACTCATAAAAAGGTGAAAAGGATTTACCAAAAGTTCCCAAGTAAAGATCTTTGTTCCCTGCAACTCTTCCGATTCTCGCTTGCCATCTTCCATGTTGATGGTGTCTGAATATTTTCAACACTGTTATGATCGTTGTTCATTTGAAAATACTGTATTTAAATGTGTAACAAGATCGTACTTTCGTTGTTGGATATGTCTGATAATTAACGAACAACAAAGTTCTATATAAATTATTTGTAATACGTCACAAGCAAAAGGTTCAATATCATGTATACATGCACGCGCGTGTGCGTGTGTATATATATGCGAAAGATCGTATGAGAAGAGATGTTATAATGAAAAGTGTAAGAAGAAATTTGAACATTTGATTACTTTTAATCTCATGTCCACCCATAAATTGCGTTTTAGAAGACAATTGATCCGGTGCATCTTGGTACACCTCATTAGTGTTGACATTTAATTAACATTGATCCAAACGTGGATATCAATTCTTATGTTTCCCACTGTAACTTCCCTTGTTACCATAACCTAACCATATATATATATATATATATATATATGAGAGAGAGAGACTTGAGTTCACGTAAGACCAGTCTGTTTTTGTGAGACTACTTTTTTACACGTGAAATTTCATAACAAAACGTTGTGAAGGTAACATTCACAGTGTTTTTGCTGTGAATGTCCGGCTTTTTTTACCTTCACAACGTTTTACTGTGAAGTTTCAAGTATAAAAAAATAGTCTCACAAAAACATATTGGTCTTATGCAAACCCAATCTTATATATTTATATATATGATGGTGTATATTATCCTCCGACATTATGATTCCTATTATTTCTTAATTTATGATTTTAAAAGAAATCTTCCAAAGTATATTCTGACTGCTGTGGGTAATTGGCATGTGCAAACTGGTTCCTTTTGGTCCCATTTATCTATACTATATTATAAAGCATTTGACTAAAACTCTTAAAAACTCTTAAACTCTTAAAACTCTTAAACCCGTTCATCCCTAAACAATTTCATCCCTATCCGATTTCATCTCATAACTGAATTCGTGTAACTAACTGCAGATAAACACAATCAAATACAGGATAAACATCTCATTTTAAATATAAAAAATCTAAA